CTAGATCAATTAAATATTTAGTTCTTCCCCTTAGCAGCTTAAAAGTTAAATAGTTAATTTTATTTTTATATTTTTCCACTTAGGTATATTTTTTATAGATATTTTTCTTTTTCTTGATAGTGGAGAAATAGTACTCTGAGAAAATGTATGTTTAGAACGAACAGAATATTCTTGGAAATAATGTTTTCAAGTAAATGATAAAATCTATTGACACTGTTTTTAGTATCTAATTTGCCAAACTCCTTTTTCCAATCAATTAAATCAATATCTATTTTAATATAATTTAAATAAGCTTTTTTAAACTCCAGAGTTGTATGGCTTTTATCTTCAACAAGAATTGGATTTGTACATATTTTTATATTTTGAATTTAAAAACTGTTATTCAAAATAAGGTCAAGTGTATTATTATGGATTTTACGAAAAGTACTAAATTGTGACAAATTACAACAAAATATAGTATCATTTTCATTTTCAGAAAAGTTAAGGGGTACGTAATTTTTGTTAATGGGGTCGAAAGATCAGTTAATATTGGATAAGTTAAAGTCGCTACATATAACAAAAGCATCACCAGGGTTAGTGTTTTTGTAAAAGCCTTATTTTACGTTTGTATTTATTGTTTCATAAAAAAATTGAAGTAGAGATCGAAAAGTTCACAATAAAATTATACTGTAATTGCTACAAACCAAAAGTGCAATATATACTCGTACAAACTTTAAGGAACTGTGAGGTCCTTTTAATGTAAATAAAAATGAAATACAAATTCAGGAGATAAAACATATTTTATAATAATTTGTTTAATTAAAAAGCTTGATATAAATAAAAAACTCACCATTTGAAGCCATTCGTTCCTCCTAAAATAACATAATAAAAACATTCAGTAAAAGTAAAAATAAATCATAAATTCAGAAAAAGATTAGGGTACGAATATGAGAGAATAATGTTTGTAGCCCCATATTGTTACCGTTGAAAATGATAGAACAGACGTATCTAAAGTGGAATCCAGCTCATCTTTAATTTTATTGGGGCTTAAACCATTAACGTAAAAATATTTTCTTACAACTAGAACTCGAATTTTCCCAATTATTAAAAAAAAGAGCTTGATTAGTATAGCGGGCGGTCAAATACAAACTTTGGACACAAATTTGCAAAAAAAATGACATAATATGTCAATAAATAAGACAATAAACCAATTGATGAATTCGCGTTCAAAACCAGATTTATCCACTGTTTTCACAAAATCGTATTCTGACGGTTTCCCAATGATCTTTGTGAGATCTATCGACTCCCATGCTCATTTTGGATCAAATGGCAATAAAAACCATTTAAATCAGTAGCTATAGTTAGGGTTTTGTATCAAATCCAGTTATATCCAAATTTTGCGATCAAAAGTAGATATATCCACAAAAGCACGTTTAAACGAATATTATCGGCGTTTTAGTTTGTTGGCGGTAGTCGCAGTAATAACAACTATTGTGAGTGTACATAAGAATTTTCAAAGAAAACAAGCTAAAAAAGGGTGAACAAACATGAAAGTAGAAGACAATAGTGTGAGTAAAGGAAATGATGGAAGTAGGAAAATAAAAAAGCAGGAAACACAGCGAAATCGTCGTAAGAGACAAGAGTGAGGTTAAATTTTCTACTTTTATATAATTTATCTCATTTTTACGTATTGTATCCTGATCCTGGGCTAGAAAATTTTGGTCGACCTTGTAATCATAATAGATAAACCTATGAATGTTGTAAGGTGGACACGCAAAACATATTAATTCTAAGAAACCAGTTTCATAATCATTCAAATAAAGTTCTCCAAGATCCACTTCTATGTCGTTAGTTATATGAACTCTATATGCAAGCTTGCAAGCCGGTCTTCGACCTGTTTCGCCAGCACAAGCTAACTTAAAAATATATGTTAAATTGTAAAATTGTCATTCCTTATTTTTTATCAGAGTAAAACGTTTAAGTAAAATAATTTTTTTTTAAAAAAGTTATTTTTCCATTCCTTAAATTTATCTCATTACATGTGTGTTATGACAACTTTACGACACAGGGAAAGTAAATAAATCCAGGCAAGAAAAGCAACATGTCAAAGTCTGGCAAAACTGGGGTTTGAATTTGTAAAGGATTGTTTGCTGCTATTTTTTGTATACCATACAATCGCCTCACAATAGTTGCAATGGTTTTGGAGACGGGTAGCATTCCTAGTGAAAAGAAGGGAGGAGATAGATAGATCCAGAAAAGCGCAACTATAAAGGAAAAAGTACTAGAGTTCATCAATAAATTGCGTGGCAAAGAAGCAAATACAACATAAAAAAATCTAAACATATATATCTTTCAGCAAATCTTTCAGTGAAAAAATTTCATAGAATGTATATCGAAAAATGTGCAGCCAACGACCGAGTCTCTTATGATATGTTTAGAAATGTCTTCATACATTATTTTAATATTGGTTTCTCGTCCCCTGCCTCCGATGTGTGCTCCAAGTGTACGAGGTTGAAAGAGCAGTTAAAACAAAGCAATGACCCAGAAAAGAAAAACAATATTATACTGAAATAGCCAGTACTTTTTATGAACTTTGCTGTGAAAATCCAGACAACAGTATTGCTTTTTGTTTTGATTATCAACATGTTCAGCCTCTTCTCCGTACAACTATTGGAAATGCCTTTTATGCCCACCAAATTAGCCTGTATTCCTTTTGATGCGTGTTCATGACTTCAAGTGAACCAACATTTTATATTTGGATGGAAGACTTAGCTAGAAGAGGAGCTTTTCAAATTGGCTCAGCATTGTTGCATCATCTTGGAACTCTAATTTTGTGAAAATATAAACCTTATCAGATTATTTTGCAATGTATGTGAAGGCCAAAATAAAAATCGCCTATTATTCACTCTTTAATTTACTGACTAAAACACAAGTCCCCAGAAAATGTACAGGAAATAATGAAAACATGTCTAGCAGGGCCGACTAGAGGGGGGCAGCCGGGACGAATTCCCGGGGCCCGGACTCAAATGGGGGCCCGGCAGCGGTATAAGGGGGGCCCGGCAACCGGAATTTTGTTGTTTTCAATTAAAAGTTTGGCACAAGACGAGAGGGGGAAGTTTTTGGTTGGGGACCTTTTTTTTGTTTTAGAAAATTCAATTCAATTTGGTTAGAGGAGGAAAAGTTATTTGCTTGGGGAGCTGTTTTTTTTTTTAGAAAATTCAATTCAAGTTGAAAAAGAAAAGTTTTTGTTTGAAGAGCTTTTTTTGTCACGTCACCTAGAAAATTGTCCTGGGGCCCGGCCTGGCTCTCGGCGGCCCTGATAGTTCAAGGACGTAGTTTTCTTCCTGCCGATCGAGATTTTGGACGGGTGGAAAAGATTTAAAGAACAAATCCCGTCATAATATCCAAAGAAAAATACAATGAAATTTACTCAGGAGTAGGTTCAGTAAAAACTCTTGGCACTGATTGGCAGATTTTTAATGTAAAAAAACTAGAAAAAGTTTTTAAAAAAATTAAAGGATTGTAAAAAATACATATTAAAAAGTTTATTGATAACAAGAAACAAATTACTATTAAAGTGATGACGCACTAATATTACAATTAGGTTTCGCCAGCCATTACCTGGAAATCCCTTCTTAAAAAAAAAAAAATGTGAAAATGACATAGACCTAAGCAGACAACCATTGGACAGTTCGATACCGGATAAAAAGAAAGATACCTTAAGGCATCTCATAAAAGAACATTTTGACGAAGAATGGGAAAGTAGGGAAGACCTCTTCTGGTACAAAAACTTATTGGAAGGCCCAGACGCAATCACCATAAAGGAAGATGAAACTGGAGAAGTTGTGAACGAAATGTGTGACTGTTTACATGAAGAATCCGCCATATACTTCTAATAGAAAGTAAAAATTGTGTTAGTTTTGGGAAATAAATATTTTTCTTTTTATTTTGAGAAAGTAAAAGTTATTTTTAGTGATTTTTAATTTTGCCTGTAACTTTTTCAATAAACAAGTAATATTTTTAAAATAAAATTGTTTAATTTGTGTTATATCCATATTTTTCGGCTTATTTCTCAAAATTATTTTATCTTTAAATAAAATTCCCTTCACAGAATCTTACTTTTTTTTAAGTACAAAATATGAAGCGTTTTTTTTTTTTCATTTCATGAAAATTTTATAAAAATGGATATAACTGGTTTTGAACGCGAACTCCTCAATTATATGGCACTCTTGGTGAGACTTGAAATTATTCATCGGATTCTCATTTGTTGTGGTAATTTGTTTACAGGAGAAGATAAATTTAAATTAAAACTCACCATTTAAAATCGTTTATTCCACCTTCACTCTCCTATCCCATTTATTGGTCCACTATTTTTTTCCAATTTTCATAATATCCATTATTTCCAGTAGAATATACCGAAATTAACGCGTCCGGACAAATCTTCTATACCGAACGACAATAATGATCATCATATCATGCTCAATTCTATATCAACCCTTTGATACGTAGATATATCTCCGGGTAGTATATCTGCAGCCTTGTCCATTTGATCCTGGAAGATACATCCTAAGATAGTATAATATAAATCAAAGATTTATATTAAACATCAAAGGACATAAATTCTAAGAACAAACGTCTTTATTGTCAGAAGTGAAATGAACATGAGCTCAGAACATTAACATCATGCTACCGATTAACTTTCGAATATTGTGCGACGATTTAAATTTGTTGTTAGGCATGTTCGCTGAAAATAAAAAAATAATTAATAGGATATTTTGAAAATGTCCAAGAAGAAAGATATTTAAATAAGTGATTTAAAAAACTAAGCACTCTTTTTGCAATTATTGCTCTCTGAATAAATTTACAAAAAATAATGCTGCCAATTTTGATTAAAATACTAAAAAGAGTATTTGAGTATGAGTTAAAGCAATATATAAATAAGCAGCCAGGGGTTTAGAGCAGTTTATAATTGCAGTACTGCTCTATTAAATATTAAAAATTATTTTTTAAACAAATTAGATATGCAGAAAAGTGTAGTTTTAATTTTATTTGATTATTCATTACGGTAAGAGAATAAAATAATTATGATTGCAAAACAACAGTACAAAAGGTTCTAAATCACTTCTATGAATTACCGTTGTTTATTATTTGATGATTTTATTGTAAATGTAAGTATATTTTTCTTTTTTTTTTTTAATAAACATAATTATTATTGATTATAGTAAAGCGTTTGATCAGCTGAATCATAAATTAGTATTTGACTATGCAAGTACTCAAAGTACTTAAATAAAATGTTAAAAAAATATTTTATTAATAAAGGAGTACCGCAGGGATCACTCCTAGGCTCGATGCTCTATGTGTTGGTAATATTCTTTGTAGCCTGAATCACATAAAAATTCATGATATTTATTATTATTTTTTATAGGAGGTTTGATTATTGCGAAATAATTTATAAATAGTGATCTTGATACTCTTATTAAAGTGTAGAATCATGATTTGGTTTTTAATGTAACAATGTGCCACTCTTTGGCAACATTGCTGCTAGAGATGTGATGAGTAAAATGAGTAATAATAATGCTTATTGCTATATTATAAAAGGAATACGCTAATATTGAATTCTGACAAATAAAATTAATTATTCTTAATTTTTAAATATGTCAAATTTGGAAATTATAACCCATAGACAGAAATCGGCAATGTCATTTTTACTTTCTTGTCTATATAAAGATAATGAAAGTATAAGAATCATGATTTTTTTGACGTCGATAACTCATGAATGGATACAGGTCGATTTTAGTTTAGAGAGGGTCAATTTTTTTTGAATTATACTACCATGATTTCTAACTCTCAAACCGTGAGGGTAACAACCCTTATAATTTAAGTAGGAAGAGTACCAAGGATAACTCATAATTGAAAATGTAATTTGATAATTAATTAAATAACTAAATTAAAAAAGTTAGAGAAAAAAAAACTAAAACATGAAACTTATAAAGATAATGAGTTTACATATAAATAAACTAAAGCATGGAAAATAAATGAAACGCTAGAGAGAACGAAGAAAAAAGGAAAACATTTTAAATATATAACAAATAATACTTAGCACCCAAAGTTTTTATAGTTTCACATAACACTATAATTATAAATATATTATTCAGAATTATATATAAAAATAAATATGAAGAAATGGGTTTTGAAAAACTCTGTGCACTTTTCTAGACATAAAAATCCTAATAATCTATTAATTGATACATTTTAATAACAATAATTTCTCCAGTACTTTCCAGAAAAAAATTAAATGCGGCAACAATGTCACTAAACACTTAAAGTAAAATTTGTTGTCAAATTACGAAAAATTGACTATCGAAATTATAATATTTGTTTGGCCTAGGGCCTAGGATAACGGAATATTATTTGATGTGTGTGTATGAATATTGTTTATAAGTCTTAAAAATAACATTAGGCTCTATATATTTTGATATTTTTTGTATAAATTTTAGTTATTTAGTATTCGATTTCAGAAAAGTTTTATTATTGCAAACTACCGAATTATTAAATATTTTAAAAATATAACAAGAATTAAGTAAAATTTTACGTTAATAATTATTAAAAACCATATTGGCCTACATTAATATATACTATTCATCTTATATACAGGGTAAACCAACGATAATTTGAGCGCCAAGAAATTCAAAAATAGGTTTTTAAAATATAAAAGATACGAAAACTGTTATTAGCAAGGAAACGAATTGAAGGGTCGCGACGAATAACGATCAGAGTCCATTTTTGCCAAAAATAAGAGAATGGCGCCATCATGAAGCTAGTACCAAATTTAAATCAACTATTATTTACTTCGGGGAAGATAGTTCATAGTCTTCGAAAATATAACATTCAAAGATACAACGTGTCGCCTAAAAACGATCAAGGTCCAAGCGCTAACGGGAATAAAAGATCAGATTCCATCTTTATCAACCTCCTTATTTATGTATCAGCTTGTCTGCGATCTAGATTTTGTTTGTTTATACTAATACAAGGCGCTTGTCATAGAGAAATAAAATAATAAAATTTGTTATTAAAACGTCAATGATGAGTGATTTAAATAGTGATTTGGATGGCGAAGAAGCTTATGTGGTGCACAGCAATGTCAAGAAAAGAAAAAGAACAGGAAAAATGACAGATGTTATGAAAAAGTTACGTGCAAGTACTCATGAAAGTGGAGAAGACTGCAAGTGTAGCCGTTTAAAGTGTTTTATAACTATTTGTTCTGAGGAGCGGCAACGCATAATTTTTTTTTTATACAGTTGGGAGATTACAATGCACAAAGTAAATACCTCAGTGGACTTATCAGTGTTGTACCTGTTCAGCGCCGACGTAATCGAAAAGATGATGCTGATGCTAATTTCCACACTCCTCTTATTCCTACAGAGTTCGAGCACGTGTTGAAAATAAGCTACAAGATGTGAGTGTTTGTTATAAAGCTTCTTTGTCTTTGCACGGTATTTCGAATCGTCGTGTGCAAAGTTTGAAGAAAAATCTATGTGCGCTTGGTGACGCCAAACCGGATGGTCGAGGAAAGCACAAAAACAGACCCCATCGCATAAATGATGTAACCAAACTGAAAGTTATGGATTTCATAAAATCACTTAAGGGTAGAAAATCACATTACTCCATAAGAGATACTTCTAAACTATATTTGTCAAAAGAGCTGAATATAAGTAAACTGCA